CCATCTCTCCATCCCTGAAAATGTACTCTGCGAGACACCTCATGACCTATGAGATTCTCTATAAACAGAATGTCCACTGACACTGATGGTCCAAGACCTGCTAAGCAAGCTCCAAACCCAAATCAGTTTTGCTGTGAGATTTGGTCTTAGTTCTCATCACTCCCTGGAAGAAGTACATTCAGTAAAGACTGCCTTAAAGGGGCCAGAAATGCCTTTTGAGGTCCCAGGAATATGGGCGGAAGACAATCCTCCAGGGCTAGCTGTCAACATTCCTCCAGTAGTAATAGAGATAAAGCCAGGCGTCACCCCAGTAAGAATGAGACAATACCCAATCCCAATGAAGGCACGAGAAGGGATATCTCATCACCTCCAGAGACTCTTAAACTATGAAATCCTGAGATCTTGTCAATCTGCCTGGAATACTCCCTTACTGCCAGTCCATTGGTGCCAGGCACCAATGACTACTACCCAGTGCACGATCTCTGAGCCATCATTCAAGCAACAGTAGAACCCGGTGGTTCCAAACCTGTATACTTTGCTGGCCCTGATACCAGCAGAAGCAACCGGCTTCTCATGTTTGAACTTAAAAGATGCATTCTTCTGGATTTAGTTGGCACCTGTGAGCCAACCTATCTTTGCTTTTCAATGGGAGGACCCCCAGTCAGGAGGGCAACAGCAATTAACCTGGACCTGTTTCCCACAGGCTTTCAAAAATTCCCCATCTTTGGAACTGCCCTGGCATCAGATTTGCCAGCATCCCCAGCAGAGGAAGCTGGCTACACTCCCTTACAATATGGATGACCTCCTCCTCACAGCAGCTAGCCACCAAGACTGTCTTAAAGGGACAGAACTCTTACTCTGTCTCTTATGGGAAGCTGGATACAAAGTATCCCGAAAGAAGGCTCAGATCTGCCAAGACCAAGTCAAATATGTGGGGTTCCACAATCTCCCAAGACCATCAGAACCTTGGTGCAGAAAGAAAACAAGCTGTTCGCTCAATCCCGACTCCGACTACAAGACAGATCTGTGAGTTCTTGGGAGAGGCTGGGTTCTGCCAGATTTGGATACCTAATTTCTCATTGCTGGCAAAGTCTTTGTATGAAGCCATAAAGGAGGGCAAAAGGGAGCCCCTAATCTGGGAGTCTAAACAACAACAATCTTTTCGTGCCACCAAGGAGGCATTAATCAGTGCCCCTGCTCTGGGACTCCCAAATGTGAGAAAGCCTTTCTTTCTCTATGTGCATGAGAGAAGTTTCATGACAATTGGAGTACTGACCCAATACGTGGACTCATGCCATCGGCCAGTGGCTATCTCTCCAAGCAGTTGGATTCAGTGGCAATGGGATAGCCTCCCTGCCTGTGAGTTCTCACAGCCACAGCCTTGCTGGTATCAGAGGCAGAAAAACTAACACTGGGAGGGGAGATAACTGTCAGGGTCCCACATTCGGTTGTAACTCGGGCTTAAAAGCTCAGGCACTGGCTCCTGACACATCAGCACAAAAGATAGAGCTCATTACACAGACAGAAGCCCTCCAACTGGCAGCTGAGAAGACTGTTAACATACACACAGACTCTAAATATGCTTTTACCACTCTTCATGTACATGGAGAGATATGTATATGTGTGCATGTGTGTGTGTGTGTGTGTGTATATGTATAAGAAACTAAAAATAACCTAAAACCTTCACACAGCATACTGACCTCAGAGTTCAGACAAGGTTGAGAAGATAAATCAAATACTAAAAACTCTGATGAGTAAACTCTGTCAGGAGACTCACCTAACTTGCAAACAGATCTTGCCATTAGCTTTACTTAGAATCAGGTGCAGCCCCACCAAACAAACTGGTTTCTCACCCTATGAGATTCTCTACAGAAGGCCGCCCCCACCAGTAAAAGACATTGAGGGAAATTTAAAAGAGATAGAAAACTTAACCTTGCTCCAACAGATGCGCGGTTTGGGAGAAGATCCTATACCGCCATGTTTGAGAAAAACTCCCTGTCAGCTTAACCACTGAGGTACATTCCTTTAAGTCAGGTGACCAGGTTTGGATAAAGAAGTGAATCTTCAGCCTCTCCAGTCTTGGTGGAAAGGGCTCTAGTCAGTGATCCTGACTACCCCCACAGCAATCAAGGTGACAGAGGTCACCCCGAGGATACATCACACTCAAGTAAAGAAAGCAGCTCTGGAGAGAAAGACAACTAGACTTAACAATCCGCTCAAACTAACTGAGGAGGGGACCTTCAGCCTTGCTCCAGTCACAAACCGGAAGCTGACTAGTCAACGCATGGCAGAAACAAGGAATCAACTAAACAGACAATTAATGGACTGTTGTTTCTCATAGCGTTCTGTGGTGATGCTTAAGTTCTGCCATCCCTTGCCTATGTCTATTCTTGGTATTGTAACCTTGCTTTGCTTTGGTCAATAGGAGTAACAGAAACTGCACCAATGAGATAAAGCCAACTCAAAAGGCTTTCTCTGACAGTTTTCTTTTTTTCTCCTGCTAACAGGATGTAGTATTGTTTTTGCTTGCTTCTATTCTGGGTTCCTTTTGCAAACCTGAACCCCTTGTCCTATGAGTTGTGCTTACTTACTACTCAGACTAAAAATGCCATTACATAAAAAAAAAGATTGCCATATCCCAGTTCAGACTTAAAAAGGGTAAAATCCTCATGATTTACTTGGAGAATGGTTCTCTACAATAGGAGGATTTAAAACAATGTTTGGGGTTGTATTAATTATGGTGTTGGCCTGTCTTATACTCCCATGTTTGTGCCACTGGTCATGTGGTCCGTATTGACTCTGATAGAAGCCATGGAAAATGGCCACACAAATACATCTATTACAAGGTTACCAAAGAGTAAATTCCATCCCGAGGATGAAAGAGATGATCCATTTTGACAAATAAAATGTCAAAGCATCAAAGGGGGTAATGTTGGGGCCAGCTTGGCTATTTTCCTGGGATTTACTGTGTCTGGCATTAACCTTGGTTTCCCCACTCTGAGTCTACAGGCAGCTTTTCTACTAGCTCTGCAAAGCTGCAAGCCCCCAGCTAGCTCTGCAGTGGTTCCTATAACTGTGACCACATTCTGTAGGGGTTGGGGGACAAACTGTAAGTATTTAACCCAGCTCCTGACACAGATCAGTCTGCTAGCGTAATGAACTCCCTGCTTCTGTAAAAATGGTCATGGTGACTTTGTTTCCCTCACCATTTCTCGCAACAAGATGGGAAGGCGCTGGGCATTGAGGAGGCGGAGTGAGGCAGGATAGGACTGATGCGAGAGGGAGGCGGTGGGAAGCAGGACCCAGGCGATGATGGGCGGGCTCCACGAGGGGCTGCGCCCTCCTGCGAGCCGGCCTTATTCTCCTCCCTTCGCGTCTCCAGGGGCTGAGCCTCGCCGCCGCCTGCCCCAATCCTCTCTCGGGCGGAGGCTGAAGCCACATCCAGCTGCGCGCTCGGCCTGGGCACAGGGTCCCCGCCACCGCGCGCCTTGCGCTCGGCCCGCCCCTGGAGCGACCTCCGACCGCGGCTCCGACCCACGCCCCTGGCGGTAAGGCCGGAGCTGGATCCCGGGGCTGACGGAAGGCTGGGAGGGGGAGGGGAGGGATGAGGATGGATGAGGAGGAGGATGGAGGCCACCCAGACCGCTGGTCCACAGCCGGCCCCAATCCGGGAAGGTTGAAGCGTGGGGCGGGGGCGGGAGGGACCTAAGCCCGGTCAGGGGCCCATGCGGTATCGCGCCACGCGGAGCCCGGAACCCAGGTTCAGGCCCCCCACGCCTGGTCCGCGCCGCCGAGGCCTTGGGCTCCCGGGGTCTGGGCTGCCAGACCGAATCACGCTGCTGTCCCTTCTCCAGAACCTGATCTGGGCGCGTGGGGGCCTCGGTCTTAAAACTGCGTCTCCAGACACAATACCATTCCAGCATGTCCAGCCCTTCCACAGCCCCAGTGCAGAGTCAAGGTTATGGAGTCCCTTCCCCCCAGGCCTAAGCCCCCCACCGCAGGCGCTCATCACCCCCATTTTGTGGCCAAGCCCCGCCCCACCAGGCGCAAACAGCTGCCAGCCCACCCCCTCTTCCCAACCACTGAACAGGACCCTAAATCCCTCCCCAGGGCTGTCCCAATAACTCCTCCCGAGCCCACCCCATCCCTGAGCTGACTGTCCTGCAAGATACTTGGCGCTCTGTCACCCTAACTGTAGAAGTCCCAGATCCCCACAAAGCTAAGGCTCAACCTACCCTAGGTGCTGAGCCCTGACCCCCAGACCCTGGGCCTCCCGTATCCTCTTTCCACAGCAACTCAGGTCCCATCCGATCTCTCCCCGCAGGTCGTGTCCAGGAAGATGAACTGGCCTGCTGCCACATGCTGGGCTCTGCTACTGGCTGCGGCCTTCCTCTGCGACAGCGGCGCGGCTAAGGGAGGACGTGGGGGCGCCCGGGGCAGCGCCCGTGGGGGGCTGCGTGGCGGCGCGCGCGGGGCACCCAGGGTGCGCGTGAGGCCCGCGCCCCGCTACGGCTCCTCGCTGCGTGGGGCGGCGGCGGGGGCGGCGGCTGGAGCGGCCGCGGGCCTGGCTGCAGGCTCAGGCTGGAGAAGGACCGCAGGGCCCGGGGACCGCGGTCTGGAGGAAGACGAGGACGCTGACCTAGGCGGCAACGGGACAGGACGAGGTGTCTACAGCTACTGGGCCTGGACTTCGGGCACGGGACCCACCCGAGACCGGTGCCTCTGCCTGCTGCTGGGCGGCGCCCTTGGTGCTTTGGGACTGCTTCAGCCCTAGCCCTGAGTGGAATGCCAAATTGGGTGGCCACTCCCCAGGCCCTTAGGGCCACCCACAGAGCTTCCCTCCCCTCCACTGCCCAGGGTCCTCCAGCCCAGAGTGCTACCTGGGCGATTCCAGACAGACCAGGCAGGAGCTGAGCCTCTCCTATGGTAGGCACTGTCCACGCTCCTGCCCAAGCCCATCCCATCCTCCCTGTTCTCCCACCCTACCAGGGAACCAGCAGCCCCCCAGCTCCAGGATGTCAGGTCCCCCAGCCAGAGAGGCAGGTTACCCTCCACTCTCCAGAGCTACCCAAGAGAGATGCCAAGACCAGGTATCCACTCCTGGTTCACCCTAAACACAAGAGTGAACAGTGCTGACCACCAGGCAGAGGCCACCCTCAGGTGGATCTCTCTAGTTCTGATGACTAGGGCCTCCCACAGAAGCAGCCAGAATGGACAGGACTTCAGGATTTGGAGAAAGGAGGAGGAACATTTGCTCAGGCAGCAACATAGGGAATGTGTGGTGCTAACCATCTGCCCAGAGCAGTCCTGGGGTTTTTGAAGGCCAGAAGCACACAGAGCAAAAAAATCCAGCCCAGAGATCCTCTGCCAGGGAAGGGTTTTCCCATTGGAGCCACTTGGCCCTAAGGATCACTTAACCGGTCTTGGGTCTTGGGACCCACTGTGGGGATCCACATCCAAGAGCATCCATTTCCTTTTAACCTTAGTTTTACATATGGGGCTCTCAACTGCCAACCTTGCTAGAGAGCCCACAGCACACAGCCCAAGCTTCAGGGTTCCCACACTTCCAATGGGTAGCAGCTTCTTCCAATGGACAGCCCCTCTTGGGAGCAGACAGACCAGCTCTAGGCAGAGGAGCCTGGATCTCACATGGCACAGGTGGCAGCTGACAGCCTGCTTGACGAGGCCACAGCCACCTGCAGGTCCCTGGAGGAAGGCTAATGGAGCAGAGCCAGCCTCAGCAGTTACAGCTGGACATGAGACAAAGTCTGGGCTTCAAGACAGACGGCTCACTCCTTCCAGCATCACCAAGGGCCAACTGACCTCTCAAGCCATCCTGAGGCCTGCCTCATGCACAGGGAAGCTTCAAGGAGATGCAGGACAGTCTTTACAAGGATTTGCCTCTGGTCCAAAAACCTGGTATGTAGACTGGCCCTTTGCTTCTCCAGAGCCTACCAGCACAGTGCCTGTGAGCCCTGCTTGGGGGGCTCCTGGCTTTGCCAAATTCTCTAGCTCTGATCATCTAATCACCCTGAGGCTGGGCAGGTTCTCCCAGACCCTGGTGCCTCTCGGTGCTCTTGTGAGCTCCTCATCCATAGCAATGCTGTCCCTAGAAACTGTCCTTGGCCCTTAGACCAACGGGCCTTGGGGCTCAGTCAGTGGACACAATGCTAGGACCAGCACCTTCTGGGCTGGCATATAGCACTTGCTATTGGCGAGACCTTGGCCAAGCATTCTCCTTGAGAAGCAAGTCAGAATGTAGACATCTATGGCCTTTCGTCCACACTGCCAGTAGGCAAAGCCAGACCCAATACTCCATCCCTTCCAGACCAAGCTTGATGCCATCAAAGACCAGCAAACCAAGGCTAAGCCCACCTGGGACCTCAAAAGCAGATGAGACCCCTCTACCATTAAGTCTCATACAGGGAAACCATCAGAGCCTCCTTGGCTTCTCAGAGACCCACTAGACAGGCTGCACAGGACCAGATCACAGTCCCATGTGTTGGAAAGCAGTGGAAGCCCCCCTTTTTGACTTTTTATTTCACACACCAATCTGACTTCTCTGGTGTTTGCCATTTGGCACCAGTCAGGTAGGCAGGAAGAAGACAGTGCTGATGGGGTAATTTCAGGGCAGCTAATCACACAAAGCAACCACAACAGGAGGCACCAGAGGAAGGCCAGTTCAATGATGGCAGCTGTCCACAGCAAGAGGGCTGCTCAGCACCAGACCCCTGAAGGACAATGGTCAGCTGTGGGAAGGCCAAGCCACCACCAAATGGATTCCAAGTAGAGCTACTGACCTGGTCCACCTCCACCAGCACTCCTGTCTACCCCATTCCTCCCCCACCCCTTCTTCCTAGAATGCAGCTGCTGGCACATCCCCTGGATGTCTCCAAGTCAACAAAGCTGGGACAGGCCCTCAGCACCTCCTCAGGGTCAGGCAGACCCACTGGCTAGGAGACACTGCCCATGCCAGGTCCCACTGGCCTGTGCAAAGCTGAGCCACAGACAGGCAGCCCCCCAAGGCACAGGCCCTGGGGCACTGAAGGAAGAGGTCAGAGCTTGGGTTCCACCATCAAACCTGCTATCCATATCTGTGTACACACTTAACAGTGAAGAGCTTATTGTGAAATAAACCCTCTGCTGGCAGCAAGGCTCCTCCTCATTGCAGGACTGGGGGATACTAGAGTCAGTCGGACACAGGGGGCCCAGTCCCCTGCCTTCACTGGTGCCAGGGGCTTTAATAAACAGGCATGAGGTACCACAGGTGTATAAAGGGCCATCAAGAGATGAGCCCAATTTTCTGTTTTTTTGGTAGTACTGGGGTTTGAACTCAGGGCCTCACACTCACTAGGCATGATTTCTGCAAGGATTACAGGCATGAGCCCCTGGCACCCAGCCAAGATTTTTTAAGGGGTTTGAACACAGGGCCTCACTAGGCAGGCACTCTACCTCTTGGGCCACACTGCTAGCCCAATGAGCCCAATTTCTTAAAAAATTACAGATAGAGAGCATTAACTCCTATGAGACATTAGTCTCTCCCTAAAACACTGAGTGGGAACCTCCTGACCAGGCCATGCATGCAGAACTGCTCAGCCCACAGCCCAATCCCTGTAACCACAATCCCTGTAACCAGGGCTGGCCAGGATCTAGCACGTCTCTGGAGCAGTGAGACCTAGTACCCCCTTGGAGCAGTGACCAGCATGGAGCTTCTGGAAGAGAGGAGGAGCAGTCCCAAGTCTCAAACACTCTGGCTGAAGGTCTGGGAGGTCACAAACTGCCCCGGCTGGTTCAGGGGTCTGTGTTGGCTGAGGGGTGGCCCTCCAGGATGTCACGGTCCAGCATCACTGGGCCCAGCAGCCCACTGCGGAAGGTCCGGAGGAAGTCGCAGGCTGCTGCAGAATAGTTAGGCTGAGTGACGTTCACATCACCTGGAGATGGGGTCTGGTGAGGAAGAAGCCTGCCAGCAGGCCAGCCTGGCCCTAACATACTCTAAGGTGCGCATCAGTGCACAATCACAAAGATCACAGAGGGCCATGTCCACCCAGCTCTGCCCAGGTCTAGAATACCTCTAAAGCCTGCACTCCAAGCTCGTTCCTCTCTAGGAACTTCTGTAGCTCCCTTTCCTCAAGCCCTGATCCCAGGACAGCTGCCCACAGGCTCCCCTCCATGTCTCTCCCTTCCCCTCCCTCCAGAAGGGGCCAGGGATCGCCCCAGGTGACAGCGTGAAGGGTCCAGGGCTGCATGGTGCAGCCTCACTCACCTGTACCCGTAAGCACCTTCACCTTCCGTGTCTTCCCCAGCTTCATGGCCACGCTCTTCAGCACATGCTCCACGTCATCACAGGCAGTGTCCAGGCCATAGTGCTGCACATACCTGCACAGTCCACAGCCCCAAGTCAGACTTCTGGGAGGCACCAAGCCAGAGAGCACTCACCTACACCCCAGAGCAGCTGGCTGCTGCTCCTGAGAGGACCAGACTGCTTCCAAGCAACTTAGTGTACCAGGACAAAGCTCAGGAATTTTTACAGGAGAGTAGAGTCTCATCACCCAAGAAAGTAAAATTCAAAATGTCTGGCACCCAGTCAAAAGCAACCAGGCCTGGAAAGCAGAGTAGACCCAAAATGAGAAGAAAAATCAAATCAACTGGAGCTGACCCTGAAATGCCAAGATGTTAGAATTAGCAGACCCAGCACCACCTCAGTTATTACAACGTCATCACACATGTTACAGGCTCAGACACAGCCCATATGAAAAAGTGTCTGAACCGAACATCTAAAAGTAAAAGTTCTGAGGAACAATGGGACATACAGACAGCAGGCCAGACACCACAAAGAAGACAAGTCACCGGAGACCATGACAGACACAGACGAGAAGAAAGACATCTCAAGGGATGAGCAAGGCCAAACAGCCCAGCTGGTGACTCAACACTGGGAGCAGAGAAAGGGCAGAAGAAGCACCAAAAAGGCAATACTCAGAATTAACCAAACAAGGGCTGGCTGTGGAGATACACACCTGTAATCAGGTGCTTAGGAGGCAGAGATCAGAAGGATAATGGTTTGAAGTCAACCCCTGCAAAATATTAACTATACCCTATCTTGTTCAGATACCTTACTATAATCCCAGCTAAGCCAGATGCAAAAAGTAGGCAGGCAGATCCCCATTCATGGATAGCCCCAGGCAAAAGAAACACTATCTGAAAAATAACTAAAATCAAAAACAGCTGATTTTTTATTTTTGAGGCATGGCTCACGTGGTAGAGCACTTGTCTACCAAGTGTGAGGCCCTGAGTTCAAATGCCAGTAATGTCAAAAAAAAAAACCACAAAAAAAGCCACCGATCCAAGAAAGCACAACAAAGTAAAAGCATAAGAAACATGAAGGACTCCACCACAGGGCCCTAGTGACCAAAATGCTCAGAAGCAGTGTCCAAGTGAACATGCTCAGACGTGACCAGGATCATGAAGACAGGAACAAGGACAACTAGCATGGACTCCTCACCATAGGAGGGCCAGAGAGAGGCAGAGCTATGTCCCTTCAGAACTGGAAAGCCTGGCCTAGAACCCACACACAGAGAAGGCACCTTCAAACCAAGGCAAAAAGGGACAGTCAGACATCTGCAGCTGAAAGGACCTGTCACAGCTGCTTGCCCAACTGGGGAGGGGTCACAGCTGACCTGCACACAGCAAAGGTCAGAGGTCACAACCAACTCACACACAACAAAGGCTAAAGGAAATCATTCATCTCAGGAAATGTAGGTAGACGCCTAGGTCTCCAGAGACAGGAGGCACCTTGAATGTAATATACTGATTGAATATGTATGGTTCTTGTCTTAGAGTTTCAATCTCCTTAAGATAGTGTCTGCACAAACAAGAGTTACAGCAGAGTATCTTGCATTCATAGAATATGCAGAGGCACAATGTACAGTAAGTGTCACACAGGTCACCGTGAGAGAAATGGAACCTGACTGCTGCAAGGAGACACTGATAACACACAAGCGGTCACAGGTACAAGCAAACAAAGGAGTTGAAGTAGAATCATAACTATCCAATCCTAAAAAGGCAAAAGAGGAAGAGGAGATGAAAGACAGGAAACCTAGAAAGCAAATAGCTCAACAAGTTTAGACCCATCAGTAATCACACTAAATGTAAAACGTCTAGGTAGCTAACATAGAAGACAGAGACCATGGACTGCATAAAAATCAAGACCCAACTATGTGCAAACTATAAGAAATACATTTTAAATATAGACATAAATGCACCAAAAGTAAAATCACAGAAAAGCTGTAAGACAAAGTTGACCTCAAGCAGAGATTGAGGAAGGCATTTCACAATGGGAAAAGCATCAAGTCATGGGGAAGACACAGCAATGTCCTAAATGCTCTGCATCTAGCAGCAGATTCAACATCCACAAAGCCAGAGCTACAAGAACTCCAAGGGGAAGAAGACACATCCAGCAATGGCTAGAGATTCCAATGCCCTTCTCAAGAAGAACACAGGGGGAAAGATCAGCAAATGGGAGGAAGAGGCAGAAGGATCACAAGTTCTAGGCCAGCCTAGGCAACAAAGTAGGACCCTGTCTCCAAAAAGCAAGGCCTGAGATAGTAGCTCAGTGGTACAGCACTTCCCCACCATGTGCAAGGCCCTGGACTTGATCCCCAGCAAAGTAAAAAACACAAAGGAAACTAGAGACATTGGCACAAGTGGCAGAGCACATGCCTAGCAAGTGCAAGGCCCTGAGCTTATTAAACCCCCATACCGCAGGGGAGCAAATACAGAAAGAAAAATATCAGTGAAACCAAAAGCTAATCCGTTGGGGAAATTAAATAAAATTACTAAGCCTCCAGCCAGACTGACCTCCTCACCCTGCAAAGGCATCTGTGAAACACCACAGTCGACATCATACCCAAGGGTAAGAGACTAGATGTTCCTGCCTAACAGAGGGACAAGACAAAGTGCCTGTTCTCTCCATCCATCCAACACTGACCAGAGGTCTGCCAAGGTAATAAGGCAAGAAAAAGAAAGCAGAGGCATCCAAAGTGGCAAGGTAAAAATAAGACTATTCTTATTTTTAAATGACATGATTGTCTAGGTTAAAAAAAAAAAAATCAAGAGCTACTAGAACAAGTAGGTGAGTTTAGCAAGGTTGCAGGATTCAAGACCAATATACAAAAATTAACTATATTTCTACAAACTAGCAATAATCAAAAGTGAAATTAAAAACAATCCACTGGGCTGGCAGAGTGGCTGAACTGGTACAACACCTGCCTAGCAAGTGCAAGGCCTCTGAGTTCAACCTCTATTATCAAAAAAAATTTTTTCAACAATAGAATCAAAAGAAGGAGTTAAACATAAACTTTACAAAACATGTAAAAGACCTGTATGCTGAAAACTAAAATTGATCTAAACAGACAGAAACACTGTCTTCATGGGATACTTTACTCAATAATGTTAAAGTGTTATCAATTCTCCCCCAAACTGACCTATAAATCTAATGGAATCTCCACTTCCCCAAAAAAGCAGGAATTTTTTTATATGGCTGGGGAAGAGCCAGGACCTTGCACATGCCAAGCAAGTGCTTCACCACTAAGCTACACCCCACCCCTTAAATCAGGGCTTTCTGTAGAACGTGACACACTGTTCTAAGATCCACATGAAAATGGGAAGGACCTGAAATCGGCCAAAGTTATTTTAAAGAGTGGGGCCATGGTACATCAAAGGCACGGCCACCAAGACAGAGCAACAGGACAGAAAGGCCCTCAGAAAGACCCACACATACAACGACACAGATTTCCAACAAAAGTACAAGGACAACAGAAGTCTCCAACAAATGTTTCTGGACAACTGGTTATCCATGTGCAAAAGAAAACTCCATAGTTTATGCCATATGCAGAAAGTGTATACAAATATATATCAAAAGAGGATGGTAGTCCTAAACATGAAACCTAAAGTATCAATCTTCAAGAAGAAAACAAAAGAGAATCCTTGTGACCTGGGCTTAGGCAGACTTCAGGTATGACAACAGCACCATCTATAAAGTATCTAGTTACTTCATGAAAGCTAAGAACATCAGCTCCTCAAAAGACAGTGTTGAGAGGAAGAAAAAACAAGGCCAGATTCAGAGAAGACATTTACAAACCTTCTCTCTGATTAAGGACTTGCATCCAGAATATACAAAGAATTCCTACACCTTCAAAATAAGGGGAAAAAAGCTGTAGCTCAGTGGTGGAGCACATGCTCCACACACAGACAGCCAACACAAACATGAAAGGATAGGAACACGCATCAAATGCTCTGCAAACGACAACTTTAGCAGACCGCTAAAGTTAAAACTGTTGGCACCAAACATGAAAAGGGTGCAGAGAAATCAGAACTCATCCTTGCTGGGAGGCATGTGACACAGTACAATTAGTTTGGAAACTAGCTTAACAGTTTCTTAACAAGTTAAAACACACATCATCTCCTATGTGGCCTGGCCATTCCTCTGCTAGGTTTCACCCAAGAGAAACAAAAACTCCCATCACATAAAAGACTTACACATGAATGTTTCCAGCAGCTTTATCTGTAACAGCCAAGAACTGCCAACACCCCTGTGCCCACCCAGGGATAAGTGATGAATCAAGTGCACAATGAATAATGAGCTTAGTTGCCAAAAGAAGGAACCATCAACATTCATTCAACATGGATGAATCTCAGAACAATGGTGCCCAGTGAGGGAAGCTGGACAGGAACACACATTCTGTATAACTCCAACCATATGAAATCCTAGAAAATGCAAGCTAACCAGTGACACACATCAGGTGACTGCCTGGGCTCAGGGAGGGCAGGAAGGGCAGGCACAGAGGAACCCAGGAAGAGGTGATGGAATGCCCATCTTCTTGTGTGGCCATCTCAGATGCATTCTTGTCAAAACTTGTCAAATCACACACTTTTAATAATGTGTACCTGTAACACCTTAACACTGTATTTATGAAACCACATCTAGCTAGGATAAGCAAGCAGGGATTGCAGCCCCACACCTGCTGCCACTCACCCCAACAGCCTATGCTGGTTGAGGGTGTAGAGGAGGTAGTCGGCCATGGTCTCCTCCCCGACCAGGTGGTCCAACACTGTTCCTGGAAAATAGACAGTCAAGGCAAGTATGTCCAGAAGCCAGCATCTATGTCCCACAGAGCCTGCACCCCTCCCAATCTCAGCCAAAGACCCATGCTGTTAAGAAGCCTCCCTCCAGAACAGTACATGTCATCACCCAGCCTTCCTCTTATGTGGCATGTGCCCTGGCTGTGAGGCTTACCTCTCTGCCCACATCTGTCAAAGAACAGAACAGTGGCCAGCACACATGTGCTGTGAGCCACCCTCAGTCTCACCCTAAGCTTTGAGAAGTGTCCGGCAGCAGCCAGGGCACATGTAGCAGTAACACCCTGCCTAGAGGCAGGCCAAGGTTGGAGGGAGAACCTCAAAGGTGGGACAGAGGGGCACCCTCCAGAACTCACCACACAGGGCCAGCTTCAGGCCCGTCTCCACACTTTCAATCTGAGGAGCCAGTACCCCAGGAGTGTCCAGCAGGAATATCGGTGGCCGCTCACACACCTGTGCAGGCAGAGAGCAGTTCAGAACAGCAGCCTCTGCCCGGCCAAGCCTAGACTCTTGAAGCACCCTGGGACAAACCCAGCCCCACAGGTTGCCCTAGGGCCTCCACAGGGTTTAATTCTCATTTAATTTGGAGAATAAATAAGTGACGGGCTCCATGGGAATGCACAGAACACGGGTTCCACTCAGCTCTGCCCTGACCACCACATGACCCGGGCAGGTGGGGTAACAAGGCTGCCTTCCCCAAGGTTTATAGAAGGACAGTGGCTGGAGGTGACAATGCAAGTGGAAGAAGGGGACGATCAGAGGGGGGCTGGCATGTGTGCTCAGCAGTGCCAGACTCAGCAGTGCCTGAGCAGCTCTGGGAAGAGTTTTAGGCCTCCACTGCTGAGGACCCCACCTGAATTCTGGATGTCACAGCTCTGGTGATCCCAGGCTCACCGCCCACCCGGGCAGCTTTTCCTGCAGGACAGAAAGAGGAGGCTGCAGAGCAAGCGATGAAACACAGGTGTATAACAACCACAGCTGGCAAGCAGTATGCAAGCCCCAAAGAACAAAGGGCTTCCCAAGGCTCTAATTCATTTCATGATTGGTCCCAAACAGCTCAGTGGGGGACTCAAAATGCAGGCACAGGAGCTGAGAGGCTCAACAATGCCCAGAGCTCACTCCCCAGGGCTAGAAAGGTGTGCTGTACTGCAAAGATCAGGCCAGAGCTGCTCCTTCACCCAGGCCTCTCCTGGGCTCCATGCATGGCCCATAGCAGGCCTGACCAGTGCTGGCCTGGACTCCAAATGCTGTAGCTACTCAGCATGGACTGAGCTCAGGGCACACTTCAGGGAAACTGCTTACCCACTGCCAAACCAACTCAGGAATAAAGGGATACAAACAAGTGTTCATCACAGATGAACCGATACTTTATGATGCAGACTCACAATGGAGTGTGACTCAGACCTGAGGAGGAAAGAAACCCTGACACACTGCACCATGGATGGACCCGAAGACATTTCCTGAGACAAGCTAGTCACAAAAGGAGAAAAATGATACAATTCTACTTACTGACAGTTGGAGTGGTCAAACTTCCACAGAAAGCAGAATGGGGGTTAGCAGGGGCTGGGGCTGGGACAGTTTGCTATGTTTCGAATTCTAGTTGAGGATAGATGGGGTGGCTGTGTAACCTGTACATATACTTAATGCCACTGCACCAAAACACACTTAAGGGAAATAAAAAATAGATGACTGTAACAACTCTGCAATTAATACCAAAAATAGTGCCTAAAATAATGGCTCAACATGGCTTAAAGTTGACTTTAAATCAACTTACTAAATACTGTATAGCTAATGTAAATAATGAAGCCAATAGAGATGCAGCCTTAAACTTTAAAATGCATAAAAGGGCAGGTGGCGTGGCTAAAGCGGTAGAGCCCCTGCCTTCCAAGTGCAAAGCCCTGAGTTCAAACCCCAGTACTGTGTCGAGGACACAGTGAGTGTGGATGTGAGCCTGAGTGCAGTGGGCAATGTTTTGAGAATAAGCACAACAGTGCACTCAGGCTCACAAAGTGATTTCCTGTCATCACACCTGGGATGGCAATACCCAGCTGCCCAGGTCACCTGGAGGGAAGGGGCTGAGGGGCGATCACTCACTACGAAGCCACCTTCCTTTCTGGCAAACCCAGCTATCCTACAGCATGTTGGATTCTCTGCACCAAAGGGATTTAAAGAAAAGAAAAAACAAAACCACCAAGTTTAGAAAAGCCATCTTCCCATCAAGGATTTTAGAGGAAAAAACAAATCGAGTGTCCACCACACAACATTCTATCAATGGGATATGAAACAATGACTCAGTTCCTCAGCAGGCCCCTCTGGCTATAAGCATACCTATCCTGAGATGCTGCCTCCTCAGGGAGTTGATGAGGGAGGACTTGCCCACGTTGGGGACCCCAATCACCATGATGCAGTACTCCAGATTCTGTGAACACAAAAGAGGAGCCTTGACCCACCCTGAGCAGTGCACCCGCAGTCCAGGAAGAGGAGAGGTTGGCACAGGGGCCTGCCACCCAATGGGGTCGCCCAGCCCCTCCCACAGCAGAAGAGAGCAAGGGCAAAGCTGGCCTCCTTGCTGGGGCCCAGCACTTCCCTCTGCCCTGTGGAAGCCCCAGAGGGTCAGGCAGGAGGAGCTAGATGACCCCCACATGACCACCACAAGCTCTGCATCCCTCCAACCAACCTCTGCTCGGTGGTAGCGGTAGCTGCTCCCAATCAGTTCTGTGACCTTCGGAATGATCTGCAACAAACAGCCACACCTTCCAGCCTGATGTCCCTCACCAACCCACTTCCTGATACCCCTGCCTCCCTCTACATTCATGAGATAAGAGAACAAAGACCTCACATATGGCACTCAGCAGTGATGTGGGAACCTGGGCATCCAGATTGCAGACTCCAACCAAGTTGTGCTGGCCAGGACTTACTCACTGCCTCCCTCCCCTCCCATCCTGTCCCCCACCTTTATAAAGGAGCAGGGTGGCTACCCCAGGAGGGCTTCTGTGACAACTGTGACTATAACCATCTACTAGTGAACATGCACATCAACCCCAATGACCCATCAAATACAACTAGGAGAAGTAAGTTACTGGACTCTCCAAGAGGCTCTTACTACTTCTCTCTACAGGATGACCCTGCACTCCCTTAGCACTCACCTTGGGCTAGAAGCATCAGCACAGAAGGCAGGGCAGCCCAGGAGACCTCACATCCCTGGTCAGCAAAAGCCAAGACCAGGATCTTCTCCAAAACTGCTTACCAATGTACAGAAGCAAACACCAGCATATAAGCAGAAAAAGGCCTACCTGCTTGACATTTTCATCCTTTACACAGCTGGTAAAAATGACATTTTTTAGACCTTCTCCTTCTAAGTGCTGCATAATTTTCTGAAAGAGACATTTTCATTTTGAACACCAAATGGAAATGTGAACAATACGATATAATAAAATCAAAGATCTGAGCACAGAGGGACACTGCAGAGGCATTTTTCTGCTCAGATCCAGATCACCACCAGGAGCCAGGCCACAAGGGGCAAGGCACCAGCACAGATGACAGGAACTGAGGAACTTCAAAGGAGGGTGGCCCAGCCCAGCTCAGCTCACTGCTAGCCCCAGGGAAGGCAGGAGGGAAACACTTAGGGCAGCATAGCTTGGCTGTCCTATCTGTGCACCCCAGGCTCTGCTGGGGTGAGGACCAGGGGTCACATCCTGCACTGTGAGTAAAATGAGGCTGAGCAGGTCATTCTGAAGCCACTTCTAACACGGAATTCACAGATCCTGGGCTTTGCTGAGAACTCCCACTGCTCTGGTGAATCCTGACCATCCTTCAAACACGACTTCCTTTGAAACTGAGGTGGTATTGAACCCAATCTGATTACAAAGAATATCTAATGCTAAAAGCCCAGAAGTATACTAAGGTAGCCATAAATTCACTAGCCTTAACATTCAATGAAATCAGTGTCTAGCTGTATCATATTTCATTTCATTAATATACATATGTATGAACCATACATATTTAAATCAGTATCATATTGTTTGATTGTTACTGGCCTCAAAATATGGGCTGATGCTTAAATGAACAAAAGTTACTCATTAATTCAGTTGGCTTTAATTATTTCTTCCAGCTACCCATTGCAAACGACAAGCCATGACAAAGACATACTGAAGCCACAGTCCCAATCACTCAGATGTCCCTCGAGAAGGAGGGCAGTGGCCCCCAGGACCCTTCTAGAAGCATCTAGCACTCCTCTCAACTTCCAACCAGTCAAGACCCTGCTGTGCCCACCAACTATAGAGGGTCTGCAAAGGCTAGCACTTGAAGGGCAGAAGCAACTACTGATAAGTTCAAGTCTCAACTAATAAAAGCAACAGAAGTACTTGTCCAGGAAAATACCAAAGTTGCAAATGAAGCAAAACACTACAGGCCTGCTTGGGGGCGGGGGAATCATGATCAGCTTTGTAGGCTGATGGCAAGGTAAACTACCAAAAGGAAACGCCCAGGAAAATACCAAAGTTGCAAATGAAGCAAAACACTACAGGCCTGCTTGGGGGCGGGGGAATCATGATCAGCTTTGTAGGCTGATGGCAAGGTAAACTACCAAAAGGAAACACCTTGGCCATTCCTAGACACTGTCCTAGGAACCTGTGGTGGAGTCTTGTGCTTGGGTTTGGGTAATTGGAATATGCCAGTTACCTAAGAAACCTGGGCATTGTTGCTTCAATAAAGGGAAAATTTCTGCACTGTTAACAACTTTTTAAAAGCTGCCTTGAGTTCAAAACCCTTACACATCTCACTCTGCAAAGGGTTTGACAACAGAGCCAGAAAAACAGAGAAGGTACTTCAGGTAACATTTCCAGTCCTTACATTTCTTTTACCTCTGGGCCACATGTAAAATACCCTGCCCAATTCTGCCTGGCTTTGAAGAAAGCTTTAGCTACTTTGGCCCTCTCCCATTCCCAGCCCTTCTAGCTTCTGGATCAAACACTGCGCAGAAAGCAGCCAGCAGCAGAAAACCTGATAAGTCTGGGTGTGTGAACACATGGGTACACTGCAGCCATCACAGGAGACCTCCAGACCAGACCAGTGCTGTCCAGGGCTGCAGGTAAAAGCCTCATGCAGTTTCTCAAATTAAAGCTAAGCAAAATGTGAATGTCAGTTCCTCGGCTGTAATAGTCACATGTGGCCAGAGGCCACCACATGGGGTAGAGTGGAAAGAGAGTCCATCAACTTGAAAAGGCCAACTGGACAGTATGGCTGTGGCAGTCACTGGGGCTCCAGAAGCACAGTGACCACTTCCCATAGAAAGTGTGCCAATCTTGAGCATCTTGGCTATAAATTAACTTTCAAGAGGAGTAGCCAGGCTGGAAGCCTCCTGCAAAGCCAAGAGCTGTTCCCAAAGCAGTCCTGTATGGGGTCATCCACACAGAGCTCAATCTGAGTCTGCACCAACTCCTGTCACACTGCTGCTAGCATCTGCAGAAGGCACTCACTTGCTGCTCTGTGAGATCTGCCAAGTCCATCTTGTTGAGGACAAGCAGGTGAGGCTTCAGCCCAAGGGTCTCCTGAAACAGGGGGTTGCGACCTGAAAGTGGGATGTGCCAACATTAAGGCAAAATTCCTTCAAAGCTTTGCCAGCTGGTCATTCACCTTGTCTGCCTTGGTCAGGAGTTAAAGCCAGAGCACAGCAGGCCAAGCAGTCCAACCACACTCCAACAACTACAAAACCAACCCTCACCTGCCCTCCTGGCTTGTGAAGGGTGCACATTCTGCTACTGCCAAGGAAGGCGGTCAGGCAAGGTGGTAACTGCCACATGGCTTCCCAAACAGGAATGACGGTGGCAAGAACAAAATCACAAATTAGCTGGGCATGGTGATACAGGCCTGTAATCTCAGCACTTAGGAGGCCAGCCCGTTCCAAAGCCAGCCTGGGATACATGGTGAGACTGTCTCAAAATAAATTTTTTTCAAATCAAAACTCAGAGAAAGGCCACTATATATTTTAGCTGTCAGAGTAGGAAAGCATAAGTGATCTAATCACTCAAGAAAAAGTGACTCTGAAGCCAGGTGCCAGTGGCTCATGTCTGTAATCCCAGCCACTCAGACAGACATCAGGAAGATTGAAATCTGAAGCCAACCCTGGCAAATAGTTTGCGAGACCCTATCTCAAAAAAACCCTACATAAAAAAGGGCTGGTGAAGTGGCTCAAGGTGTAGGCCTGGGTTCAAACCCCAGTTCCACCAAAAAAGAAAAGAAAAACAACTCTACCCTGTGCCTTTCTCCAGCCCCTCCAGGACTCACAGCTGCCCACCACTGGGGACCCAGCAGCTCTACCTATAGGTAGACAGGTCCCTTTCCTTATTGAGACCCTCACTGGAGAAGCTACCTCCTTACTGCCATGGTCAGCCAGGAATCCCAGAACTGATGTAGGGCCCACCTCCTGTAACACTAATGTGGGGGAGGGGGCTTCGTAACTTCATTTCCTATACCTCAGCCCCCCTGGTGCTGCATGTCTCCCAGGGGTTTAGTTGCAAGAGTTCCCCAGCCCCTACCTGCCCCACCTAGGCAACCAATTAAGCAGCTGTCTTCCCTGAGACCAAACGCCTTCCCTGAGAGCTGATCAATTGTATATGCTCTTTCAGAAGCCCACAGCCTCCAGGCTCCCCTCCCAGGATGTTACAAAGGCAGGCTTCCTGCCACATTCTAGATAAGGAATCAGAGGAGAAAAGTCCTCTCATCACACAGAAAAGTAACACAGGTTTTATTTAATAATCAGACATGTAATTGCCAGTAAACATTATCTGACAGCATGAGATGTTGGATGATTCCATTCATATTTATAACCTGTAACAAAGAAAGCAAATGTTTCATTACTAAAGCTCCAACAAGTCTTTGAACTCTGAAAATGGCCCCTCAACCTCAACTATTTCCAGAGATTCCTGCCAGTGGCAGTGCAGCCGCACACTGGGAACTGGCTGTCCCTGGGCTTAGCCAGGGGACATGCTCTTCTGGGGCTGACCAGGCAGGTAGCAAACCAGCACCTTCATCGCAGAAGAACCTCATCACAGCTCAAATGTAACAAAATAGTCTGAGAGGCATGTGTCCATGAACAGGATTGCCCTGTCTTGCCAATTCGTCCCTCAAGTACAGAAGGCATTTTTTTTTTTTTTGTCTGTACTGGGGTTTGAACTTACACCTCGTGCTTGGTAGGCAGGTACTCTACTGCTTGAGTCACTCCACCAACCCTCAAATACAGGTGGAAAGTCCTGTAATTTCAGGTTTCGTGCCCTACCTAGAGAATCCTACTGCAGGACCACACTGGAAAGCCCAGGAGAACCCGGCAAAGGTCAAGACAAATGATCAGCAATAGGAAGCTTCATAAAAACATGTGGCCTAGACCCAACACAGCAGACTCTAGTCTAAAATGGGGCCTCACAGATGCTGTATTTAAAAGCCTCCCCAGGGAAAAAGGAGCCCTCTTACACTGTTGGTGGGAATGTAGACTAGTACAACCACTCTGGAAAAAAATTTGGAGGCTACTTAAAAAGCTGGACATCGATCTACCATTTGATCCAGCAATACCACTCTTGGGGATATACCCAAAAGACTGTTACTCCAGAGGCACCTGCACACCCATGTTTATTGCGGCACTATTCACAATAGCCAAGTTATGGAAACAGCCAAGATGCCCCAGCACTGACGAATGGATTAAGAAAATGTGGTATCTATACACAATGGAATTTTATGCAGCCATGAAGAAGAACGAAATGTTATCATTCGCTGGTAAATGGATGGAATTGGAGAACATCATTCTGAGTGAGGTTAGCCTGGCTCAAAAGACCAAAAATCGTATGTTCTCCCTCATATGTGGACATTAGATCAAGGGCAAACACAACAAGGGGATTGGACTATGAGCACATGATAAAAGCGAGAGCACACAAGGGAGGGTGAGGATAGGTAAGACACCTAAAAAACTAGCTAGCATTTGTTGCCCTTAATGCAAGAGAAACTAAAGCAGATACCTTAAAGCAACTGAGGCCAATAGGAAAAGGAGACCAGGAACTAGAGAAAAGGTTAGATTAAAAAGAATTAACCTAGAAGGTAACACCCACGCACAGGAAATCAATGTGAGTCAATGCCCTGTATAGCTATCCTTATCTCAACCAGCAAAACCCCTTGTTCCTTCCTATTATTGCTTATACTCTCTCTACAACAAAATTAGATAAGGGCAAAATAGTTTCTGCTGGTATTTGAGGGGGGGAGCGGGAGGGGGTGGAGTGGGTGGTAAGGGAGGGGGTGGGGGCAGGGGGGAGAAATAAACCAAGCCTTGTATGCACATATGAATAATAAAAGAAAAATGAAAAAAATAAAAATAAAAATAAAAATAAAAAAATAAAAGCCTCCCCAGTAATTCTAAAGTGCAATGAAAGTTAAGAGTCACTGCTTTAAATGCCAGTAACAAGTAAGGTTGCTGGCCACAGTAGGCAGCTGACTGGACCAGGGCCTAGGAGACAGAGGAGATAGACCACGACCAGAAATGCCTCCTGCTGCTCTGCAGTCCTGACTCCTACACCATGAAAGGATATCCGGGCATCATGAACCTCGATGACACAGTCCACTACCTTCAGGCTGCTCTGCATCTTCTTCAGCCCTACAAAACAGAAAGGTGCTAAGGGACAGGTCAATGACTTTTCATCAGAGAGGCGGATTTAAGCTGACTGTTTAAGAATAATACACCATACCAAGTGTGGCGGCGATGCCTGTAATCCCAGCTACTGGGGAGGCAGACACAGGAGGACCATAAGTTTGAGGCAAAGTTAGAAACCCTACCTCAATAACTTAAAAAAAAAAAAAAAACGCCTGGGGAATAGCTCAAGTGGTGCAGCCTAAAAGAATATACGAATCCATCTGCCAGAGCGCGGTCCTGACACGTCCTGGGTGACTCTGGGCGGAACTGTTAACTTTTATGGGTCTTGGGTCTTAGCCTGGACCACAGGGCAGATCAGGTGGACGTGAGTGGCGTCCTCCTTGTCCGCCAGGCGGGGCGGCAGCAACCGGACACGAGGTCTGTCTTTTGGGGCTGAACTGCGGTGCATAAGCTAAGAAATCCCCGACGACGCTGAGGCAGGAGAAAACCACTGGAGGGACCTAAGGGCTGAGACCCTACGGCCAGCGAAGGGCACTGCGCCTCCTCGCCGCGCGCCGCCCGGGGCCGCCCAGAGCGCGGGGACGGGACGGGACGGGACCGACGACGCCTCCCGCCGGCCGGGCCTCACCCTTGGCCATGTGGCCCGGGAACCAGCGCGCCACGTCGCGGCCACGCACGGAGAAGGACTCCCGCCATGCGGCGCGGGAAGCGAGCAGCGCGCGCAGCGACGGCCTCATGGCGCCGCGTCCAGGAAGCGTTCGCCGGCGCTCGTCCTCCGCGCTGCACGACTCCCGTCCCTGGGTTCCGGCGCTCTGGGGTTCCCGGCGGCCGCGCGTGCGCACGACGCAGCCTCGGCGTTGGGCGGGGCTAAGGCGGGCGGGTCCGGCCGTGTGCTGGGGGCGGGGTCACAAGCAAAGCTGCAGCTGCGCGGTTCTCAGGGTTTCTGAGTCTTGCAGGGTTTAAGTAGTTCGGGGATTTATTGCCATTCGTTCAATTTAAGAAGTCCCAAGACTGAGGATGTTGTTCAGTGGTAGAACGCTTGCCTAGCATACCCAGGTCCCTGGATTTGATCTCCAGTATCGCAAAAGTAAATAAAAACGAGAAAATAAAAAGTCCCACTGCTCCCTTAAGCATTTCCTGAGTACAAATGCAACGGAATTTAGCAGCTCCTTCGGTTAAAAACAAATTCCATTACTTTAAATTTACTTTGTAAATGCAATAGCTTCATCTTCTTTCCAAGTACCCCAGGTTTTAATTTAACAAATGTACCCTCCAAATACTGAAATTCTGCTAAATTAAACCATTAATGCCTATCATTATACCAGGACAAGATGTCAGTATAACCGGATGTGGTGGTCACAGCTGTAATCCCAGCTACTCTCCCAGCAGAGAGATCACAACTTCCAATTGCAAGTTCGAGGCCACCTGGGCAATTTACGAAGACGTTCTGGGGTCGGGGGAGGTGGGAATGTAGCTCAGTGGGTAGAGTGCATGTGGGAAGCTCAGAGTATGCTCCCCAGCGCTGAAAAACAAAATTCAGACTTTACATTTAAATTCCAGGTTTGTAAGACCGAGTTCAAAAGCCCCGTAATACCCAAAAAAAAAAAAAAAAAAAAAATCCCCAGGCTTGTTGGGCTAGGAGTGTAGCACAATGGAACGTATGTGCCGAACAAGACTACAGCACCACAAAGGGAAAAGCAAAAAAAAAAAAAGCTGTAAATCCATAGAATAAGCAAATACTTGACTGCAATTTGGGTTAGTTTTACTTTAGTGGAACTATTAGCATAGGCAGATAGGTGGAAGTGAGCAAGGAGGAGAGGAAACGCCCTGGGGCTACAAGATGCTCCTTGCCCTGAAGGAGGAGGGATCGTAAAACCCCAGCTTCTCCACTCCCTGGGCCAGCGTTAACATAATGGTCCTATATACTCCTTATGGGGCACTCCCCCTATCAAGGGTATAGTGACTGCTATATAACCTTACACTGGTTGCTGAGTAGGGCAAAGATCAAACCTACCCCCACACTCTCAAAAGCACAGGCTGAGGCTTCCCACACCCTGGCAGACACTGCTCAGTCACCAAAGTGAGGAGGGGCAAGGAGAGAGCCTCAGTTTCCTGTCACCTATTTCATCCCACCCTATTAGATGAGAAAACCCGAGGCCCCAACAACTTCAGGGTGGTTATCCCTAACCAAACAGTTCACCTCACCCCACCTCTCCATACCCTACTCCCTGCTTTCTGGTCCACATTGATGCTGTTGGATTGATGCTGTCTGGCTTTTTCTAGTGAACCACCTGCCCCACATGCCTCTCCAGGGTTATTGTTACTTCCAGTGAAAGCCTCTTTTCACAATAAAACTATCTTTACTGTACTTTGCCTGTTTATTCTCCCTTTTACCCACAGCTGGAAAGGTGCTCTAATTTCAGACTATACCCAAAGAACCAAAGAACATTTAGAACACCCCACCCACCAGTAACAGAATCTTTGAAACAACTTAAGACACCACACTTGCTCAGATTACTGTGGTTCTGATGCCTTAACCACTAATATTCAGTTATAAACACTCCTAGTGTAGCAGGGAGGAGGATAACAGGAAAACAGACTAGGCCTGAGTCCTGAGAAAGTAGAAGGGAGTAGGGATGGCATAGCAGAGAGATAAAACCTGAGAAATATGAACATGAGGAAGGTCATGTAGCACCAGGGAGGGGAAAGTCACATAGCACTAGGGTAAAGTAGCCAATAAAATTAAATATAACCATAGATGGATTAGACCTTGCTTTCTGCTTCTATAATCTGCTTGTAAGGGTCTATAAGGTGAGACCCCTTTGTTCTCGGGGCTCAGCCTTTGGACATGAGTCCACTGAGTCTGTGCTGCCACAATAAAACGCTGCTTCCTGCTAATTGCCTCGAGTCCCATATCTCAGCTAGCAAACTCCCACAACACTAGGTTTGAGAGATATGTCCTCACTATAGAAGACAGAGCCTACCCACTCCTTCTCGCTGAGCTTGTTTCTCCCATACACAGCCTGCATTTGTCTCTGGAAACTGAAATGTCTCCCAAAGACAGGTGGCTGATAAACCTGTAATTGTCAACAATAAAGAGCTTTTCATCCTTGTAATCCTACTTCAGAGGCAGAGATCAGGAGGATCATGGATCGGAAGCCATTCCAGGCAAATAGTTTGCAAGACCCTATCTCAAAAATATCCAACACAAAGCAAGCCTGGTGGAGTGGCTCAAGTGGTAGAGTGCCTGCCTAGCAAGTATGAGGCCAAGTTCAAGCCCCAGACCACCAAAAAGATACCATCTTCCCTTGAAGGAAGCTGAATTCTTTCACAGTCCAAATGTCAGGGGAGACAGGGCAAGTCCTTGGTCTCACCTAAGAAAGAATTCAGGAGCAGACACACAGAGGAGACTTTAAAAGATTTATTTAAGCAAAAGGTAGATTTTATTAAGGCAGAACTGATCATAAAGTGATAGTCCACTCCCAAAGGAAACTGAGGGCGGTTGGCTTAACCAAGCAGTTGAGGGTTAAGTTGAGGGCCCGAGCCCCACTCTTAGGCACTTTTATGGATAGGATTTCATGATTGTGCCCATGATTATGCAAAGGATGTGAACATATATTGTGGAGTTCTCCGAGAAACAGGATCTATGGGGAGTGGTTTCCTAATAAGGTGTCCTCAGAGCCAAGATGGCGATTTGAGGAGAGGTACAGTGAATGAAACTGTAACTGTGAGAAGTAAATAAGGCCTCTGACTAATCTCGAGAGTCAGAGAAGTCCCCATTGGGGTTGTTGCCGGGGACCTTTGGCCACTGTACCAAGAAGCAGCCTCAAGTGTGGTCAACCATTACTCCAGGACAATGGTGGAGCAGGAAGATTGGTGACATGTTCCCAGATACGGTGCTGCACCTGCTCTCTGGCTCCTTTGTTATTGTTATTCCCTCCTGCCTACCCGGTATCACAAGGACCACAAGCTACAATAAAATCCTGTTGGATTTTGGATTTCTCCTACAGCTATCTAATCTGTAAGTGTTCCATGCAGAACCAGTCTGCTGACACAAGACAGCAACAAGCACTCTATAGCACTTCAGATGGTGTCATGTGCTACAGGGAGAAACATGGGCCAGTGTGTGAGCCTGGCATGGTTTTGGAGTAATGAGCAGGCCAGGTTGAGACAACCATGGCATGGCCTGGCCCTGAGGCCCTTCCTCATAGCACATGAAACCAGACCCATGAGCCCAGGCCCACATCAGCAGGACAGAGACTGCCCTGAGGTGCTGGGGTGAGTAGCTTCCTACACAAGCCATCCACCAGTCCCACTGTGTGCAAGGGTGGGTGCGCCTCCCTATGGAGTGCCACCTTGCAGCTGCATAGATTCCCCTCCAGCCTTGCGCTCAGGGCAGATGTCCAAGTTCTCCTTGTAGCTGTGACACGGGGCAGTTACTAAGTCTAAGCATTCTGTATCTTCTGCAGTGAAAGCAGGGGCAACAGGGCCTCCCCCAGGACCTCTGAGGATGCAGTGAGACCAAACTGGAGAACACCCAGCACAGCCACCCAGCACACACCACGCCTCACCCAACACTGCCCTGCTCCCCACCTCAACCAACACTGTCCTACTCCCCACACCACCCCAATACTGCCTTCCTCCCCACATCACCTAACATTGCCCTGCTCTCCATATCAGCCAACACTGCCCTGCTCCCCATATCAACCAGCACTGTCCCCATCCACCCCAATACTGCCCTGATCCCCACATCATCCAGCAACATTGCCCTGCTCCCTACATCACCCAATACCACTGCCTTGCTCCCCACATCCACCCCAACACTGCCCTGCTCCCCATAACCACCCCATACCTTCCCAGTTTCCCAGTACCCTCCCCCAAGTTATTACCCTTCCTGGCTCCCCAGCACCCTCAAGTCACCTCAACACTGCCCAGCTCTCCAATCACCCAACACTATTCCTGCTCCCACATCCACCCCATACTTGCCCAGTTCCCTAGTACCCTCCCCAGGACCACCCACTGTTCTTTGGCAACCTGCTTCCCATACTCTTTAGGCCTTATTGTTTGTTAGGGAATAAACCTTAAGCCCTGGGTCTGGAAGGTGTCCCCCTGTCTCCCCAGTTCTCCACCCTTGCTCAGTTCACCATTCACAGATCACCTGACACTGCATCCGCCGAGAGCCACTCTGTGGTCCTGACACCAGCATCGGGAATCCAGGGACAAGGGGCAACCACAGGGCCCAAGGTCCTGGGGAGCACAGGTTCTGAGAGTACAAGGGGTCAGACACACCAACCTGGTCTGGTGTAGAACAAGAACGAATGCCACGGATGCTGCAGCCCTGAGGTACAAGGAGGACTCTGGACATGAGGCTGTTCTGAACTGTTTTATGCGTGTAGTATCTTATCTTTACACTCAGCCCAAGCCAGACTCCTGGGACAGATGTGAGAAATGAGAAGATGACCAGCTACCCAAAACAGAAGACTCAGAGTAAGAGCCCGAATCTCAGGCCAGACTGAGAATCATCTGTCAGGGGCAGGAGAGTCCCAGTCTGCCCCATGGAGGAGCAGAGCAGCAGGAGTTGAGATCAGAGCCTGGGCCGGGGCTGCTGTGCCTGTGGGTCCCAGTGACTGATGAGGCGGTCAGCCTCCCTCCAGCCGGACAGCAGGGCCCCATGCGTTGTGGAGTAAAATGTCCGATGTGTGGCTTCTCCGGCAAACAGTATCTGGAGCTGCAGAAAAGGGCCAGGGTTAAAATAGGGCTGCAAGTGGACTGCTACAGAGAAACACAGCAAACAGCCCCACACACTCACTCACTCACATCTACTAATGGGGAGAAGGCACCACTGCCTCCTGCAGCACAAATGTGAGTAGCACAGGGAGGAGCCCAGAGAGTGGGCACTGACTGGTGATCTCAGCAGAGGACCATGGGAGAGTGGGGAGAAACCAGAGAGCCAGGGTGGGCAAAGGAGCAGAAGAAAGAAAGCTAAACCTGTGCTGTGGACAGATGTCAATGACATCCCAAACTGAAAAGCAGCGGCATGAACATAAACAAGCTGAAAAGGGATCCAGAGATGCCTGGAGACCAACACAGACCACCAGATGACACTGCCGGACTGGTTCTTGATTTTTACGTGTGATATTAATATAAGCACATATTTTCAGTGCCCTTATCTTTTAAAGACACACACTGAAATATCCACACATGTGACACGTGTGGCTCATGAATCAGGGGGCATCAGGGGGAGCCTGATGAGGATGGGGGCACCTCAGCTCCCACCTCCTTCTCTACACAGTTGCTAGGATCCATCATAAGTTTTTAAAGTGGTAGTATAAACATGGGCTTCAGAGAGATGGCAAACTTAGAGATCAGAATCAGCTGGAGGACTGGGATGTCACCAAGAGGTACAGCACTTGCCTAGCATGCAAGGGGCCCTGGGTACCATCCCCAGCACAGAGAGAGAGAGGGAGAGAGAGAATAAAGGAAGAGAGAGGAAGAGAGAGGGAAAGAAAAAAGAAAAGAAAAATTTGGCTAGAGGAATAGTTTGGGGGATAGACACCACTAGCTACTTTTGTTTCATTTTATTTTGTTAGCCAGCATTGTAGAATTCTCTCTTTAAGCTAAGTGTAGGTATAATTCTGATAATACATTTTAAATTATTCTTAATTTTAAAAAGAAAATGGTGCTGGGCACCAGTGCCTCACGCCTGTAATCAGAGACCAAGAGGATCACAGTTTGAAGCCAGCCTGGGGAAATAGTTTGTGAGCCCCTATCTGGAAAAACACACCACAAAAAAAAGGGCTGGAGGAGTGGCTCAAGGTGTAGGCCCTGAGTTCAAACCCCAGTACCACAAAAAAATTAAAAATAAAATGGCTTCTTAGTTTGGGGGATCCCAGCCCCACCCACCACTCACTCCCCACCTCCTGGCGTTAATGAGGGGTCTCAGCAGTGGGACCCCTGGCACCAACACCAGGATCAGCCACCGTACCTGGGCGCTGGTGCTGTCCAGCGGGAGGGGCTGGGCCAGCAGGTCTATGTCAGCACCAGTGCTGCCCACCGCCACATAGCTGTAGGAACCACGGGTGTATGGGGCGCTGTGCCAGCAAGACCTCAGCACACTCTTGGGTGCAGGCAGCTGTGGGTTTCCTGAACCATGGAGATGCAGCATGTTAGCTCAGAACTCTCACCTGCATGTCTGCAAATCAAAGGCACTAGCTGGGAAGAAAACCAAGCCACGAGTGTCCTCCTAAGAGGCTCCTGTGTCTGCTGCTCTGCCCGGCACTGCACAGGACAGGCTGTGCCACAAGCCACTTCTGCCAAGCCTACTGACTTCTGCTGCACTTCTGAGCCTCAGATTCTTTACCTGAAAGCATCTATTTATTTTGGTGGCATTTATTTTGGTGGCAGATCTTAGAAAACAGAAGAACAAAGGGTTTAAACTGCTACTGTGACCACCATCATGAGAAAGGCTTGTTCTGGAGAGGTACAGAGCAGAATTTAGTTTTTCTTTCAAGAAGTTTACTTCCTGTTTAGAAATTAGCCAGTGAGGATCACCAGGCTGGGAGGTAGTTACCTGTCACTTTCCGGAGCACCTGGGTTAGAGACAGAAGCACTTCTTCATCAGATAGAGTCTCCATAAACTCAGACTCAAGCCCAGCAATGAACCCGCAGAGCACATGCACAGACCTGCATGGAGAGAAAGACCACTGAGGTGAGCTGTAGCCAGCCAGCCCTGAGGTCTCAACCAGAACCCACCCTGGGACGAGCTACCACCCTCAGAGCATTCCCAGGGCCGCAGTTCTAAAAGGAAGGCTATTTTCACAACTCCAAAACGGCATCTGCTGTTCGCACTGCATGGCACGCACTGATGAACAAGAGCAGAGGTGGACAAACCGGCACTTGCAAACATAGGTAGTCTCACAAACCACACTAACAAATTGCGTGTTCTTCACCACCATGCACATGGAGTAAAAAAATGCTGGTATCATGTGAGAAGGTCCTTAATGAAGCAGAAGAGTTACTGGCTTTGTCAAGTCTTGACCTTTGAGCACATCTTTTCAATAATCTGTGTGAAGAAATGGGAAGTGCTTTAGCGCTTCTGCCAAGGACACACCACATGCCTTTGTGCCTGAAAGAACTTCCTCCTGACAACCATGATATTTAGCAGACACTCTGAGAAACAAGCAAAGTGTGCTTGTCACGGGAAAACAGTGCTGTTGAAATTAAGCTCTCAAGCAAAAAACAGAATTTTAGCAAAACCGTATCTGCCACCAACACCATGACCACTTCCCAGGACTGAAAGACTTTTCTGAGGTCAGTGGTGACCGTGACAAATTTTTGATATCATATAACAAAACACATCAACATCCAGAAGACTGCATGAACCAATGCTTTGTGAAAGACCAAAATCACAATAGGTAAAAAGCATTCAAAAGCAGACAAATGGACTTCAGTGGAACCAAGTTCACAAAGTCCTTCATAGTGCTCAGACTCCACAGCCGGCCAGCCTCTTCAAAACTGAAGCGCTATACTGTCTTCAGTTTTGGTGTAGACTCAGAGAATGCCCAGAGCCATCTGAAAAGCTGAGTGTCATTCCCTTCTCCCATTGTGGAAGTGGACTCCACATCTTCCCAAAAACATAAAACTCCACAACAGAACAGACACATCTCCTACCCCTGCTTGACACAAAGAGCTGCAGAAGACAATGGCTGCTGCCTTTCTCATTAAATGTTTGAGAAAAGTAGTTATCGTTCATTCTTAATATATAATTTATGCACGGAATAGGTTTACTGCTGTCATCTTAAGTAAGTTTTTAAACTTGTTTTAGTTTCTCGTGGCAGATGATAATCCACATAAACAAAAGCTCTTTGAGAGCTTAACCATTTCAAAAAGGGATCCTGAACCCCAAGTCTGAGAGTCACTGCTCCCAACCATGGACAGCATCCTGACAAATCACTCAGGGTTCCCTGGGGTCACTGCCCATACCCTGAGGAGCCAGGTCTGGAGCAGGTGGTCGAGCTCACTGGTCACCCATTCCACTGCCCACCTGCCTGCTTCCAAACTCCTGGAAAGCTGGTTTTCTCTTCAGTGCCAGGGGACAGGTGGGCTCTCCCTCCAGGTGGGAGGGTGCTCTGAGCTGCAGCCTCCTGCTCCCACAATCCCATCTTTCAGACTAGGAAAGCAGTCCCTTCTGGACCACATCTGCGTGCAATGTGGATGTCCATCTCTCCCTGACCACAGTTCACTGACTGTTCTAATCTTGTCAAAAGAGTCAGGCCCCCGTCCCTTGACCGCACATGGCATTATCTCCTGAATTAACACCCAGTCCACACATGCTGCTTTATAGAACAGCTAGGCCATAGTTGAGACATCCATCTGGTGGTCTTTGAGGTTTTTTGTTTGAGACAGGGTCTCACTATGCAATCCAGGCTCACCTCAAACTCATGACCTTTCTGCCTCAGCCTCTTGACTGCTAGGATTACAGGCATGTATCCTGCCACCTGGCTACTTGTGGGTCTTTGATTCCATTTTTCAGGAGGATCTTTTGCTTAAGTATTTTATTCCATTTAAGTATGTCCCCAGGTAAAGACAGATCCACGTCTCAAATCTCTTCTCTAGCAACCAAATCCCACTTCCCTACAGAATTCCAGCATGTACTTTTCATGGGTTAAACATTCCTTCAAGTGGGCTTGCGAGATGCCGACAACCTGCATACAGTGGGCTCCATCTGTCTCTGCAAGGGGGCTGGGGCCAGGATGTCTGTAGCCAGTACCTTGGGGGCTTGTGGAACCCCTGCTCATGAAGCCCTCAGAAATGCCTGGCAGCAAGCCACACACTGCGGATCCTCAAGCGAAACAGACTGGTGAGCTGTCGGAGGCCTCAGCGCTCCTGACACATACGTACTTGAAGGCAGGCAGGACCAAAAAGCCAATGAGCTTCTTGAACCAGGTGTCCTGCAGTGCAGGGGCCGTGTCCTGCAGAGGTGACGCGCCCTCCCACACAACCTGGATGAGCTGGCAGTCTGGCTCCCAGAAGGGCTTCTCAAACTCCAGGAAGACTTTGTTGTTGGTCCCAAAGCCCATCTTCCTGATTGCTTCTGCCTTCTCAGTGGGCAGTGGTGGCTCAAAGAAGGTCTCCTGATGTTCTTTAAGAAAGCCTGGAATTCAGAATCGGATGTGGGTTATACCAGAGAGGTCTTACACAACAATCCATACCAACAGGAACCCACCCTGATTCCATGCAGAATCAGAGAGAGGATCCTAAACATGCCAGGTATTCATTCAAGCTCCTGGGGATACAGACAAGGCTGGATCTGGCTGTTAGGACTCAAAGGCGACCAGCATCACACTGGAGGAACACAACAGGCCCATTGGTCACTGCTGGTCATGCAGGGACAGTTAGCAGGACTCCACAGACAGTGGTATGTAGGGGACAGCTCACTCCGAGCCTTCTGCATCTAACGCTGCAAGTCACAGTGCTAAGGACAGTCTGGATTATTGGTTAAATACACAAACTTCATCCAGAAGCTATTTCTCCCCCCTATGCAGTGCTGGGAATTTAACCCAGGGCCTCTTACGTGCACATGCTCTACCACTGAGCCACACCCCCAGCCCAATGGAGGCTATATAAAGGTGAGTCTACATGGCAAAAAAAAAAAAAAAAACAGCCCAAAAGCAGACAAGAACAGGATGAACAACAAGGAAGTGAAACAACGGGATAGAATGAATGACAGAGAAGCAGAGCAGCAGGTGCTAATAAGCCAATTTCCACAGACATCTGCAGTCAATAAGAAAAGAAGGAACAACCCAACAGCAAACCAGTACAGTCCTCGATAGGCAGTGAGACTGGAACAGGCTCCCCTATACTGTGGTCTTGGGGGGACACGCAGGGTCACTGTCAAAATCTTCAAACAGCCAGTCCTACACAGTCACTCCCACACCCTGAAGGCATAGTCACACAAGCACTTGCAAATGCACACATAAACACCCTGTAAGACAGGGAAATGAGAACCACTAACCTCCCACCAGTGTTTAAGTAATGACATCCACATACAGAAAAATACTTTGTGGCTTAAGAACAGACCTGAGCCAGGAGCTGCTCCTTGTCTACCCTGTTGTGATGGTCAGTCTCTTTTTTCATGAATAATTTAGCAGCTATTTACTGAAAACTTACTGTATTTCCAGCTCTAGAAAGAACCAGACACTACCCCTACCTCCAGAGAGCTCATCATTTACAATACAGCAGGTGAAGTACTGCTTGTGAGTCACTGAGCCTTCACATCATCTTTCAAGATATGTGGATACTGAAATGAAATCTTTCATTACACACATCATTCTTTGGATTCTCATAAGGGGTACTTTGAAATTTGTATGTAGAAAAAGCCTGTACTTCACTTTCTCTGCCTTCTACTACTTAAGACTGTCAAGTATTTGTTTTCCTTTTCAGTTTTCTCCAACCAGATGGCTTTTTCTGTGATATTTAGTGACAGTTTTCTGTTCCTCATGATGGTTAATCTAGATTGTCAACCTGTCTGGATTGGGAGATACCCAGATTTGTAAGGCACACTTCTGGGGGTGTCCACGAGGGTGAGTCCAGAGATTCTTGAAGGCTCTAAAGAATTGTTCAAACTATTTGGTGGATTAAAAATCTGAATAGACTATTGGGAGGTTGTGGTAGGCAGGGCCTGGTTAGAAGTAGGTCACTGAGAGTGTATCTTGTCCTAGTCACTTCCTATTACTGTACCACTCTGCTTCCTGTCCACCATAATGTGAGCTGATCAGCTTTGCCATACCCTTCCCACCAGGGTGGACTGACACCTCTGAAACCATGGGCCAAAATAAATCTTCCTCACCGGGCTCATGCCTGTAACCTTAGCTACTCAGGAGGCAGAAATCAGGAGGATCACGGTTCAAAGCCAGCCCGGGCAAATAGTTCGAGAGACCCTATCTCAAAAGCCAACACAAAAAAGGGCTGGTGGAGGGTGGTGGAGTGGCTTAAGGTTTAGGCCCTGAGTTCAAACCCCAGCACTGTGAGAAAAAAATCTTCCTCCTTTAAGTTGTCAGGTATTTGGTCACAATGATGATAAAACTAACACAAGTACCAACACAGTGCTCTTAACTATCTGCTGACCACATCCCCAGAGATCAGCCCTGGGCAGGTGTGGTGAGCAGGATGGTAAATGTGAATAAAAAAGCTGGTATTTAATAGAAAAGACAGTGACAGATCCATGTGTTCTGATTTGGAGACATTGACAAACAGTTCTATTAAAAATAAGGCAAACAGCAGATGGCAAGTATGGCAAGTTGATCCATTTATGGGAACAGCAGCAAGATGCTTTGTGGGCTTATCCACCACCCAGCCTCTCCTGGAAGGACACACAGCATGGTAGTCATAGCCTCCCAGGGCCAAGAAGACTCTTCATCTCACCCCTGGCCAAGCCTACTCTGTCAACTCTGGCACTTGCCAGCATGTAACATGAGCAATTAAGTGACTTCTTTCTGCGTAGACCCTCTCATCTACTCAACAGAGGTCTGACAGATAGCTCCTGAGGTTGCCTGGGGGCATGACACTGGCATGGAGCAAGTGTCCAGTCCTCAGCAATTACCCTAGCCACTGCATTTTCAACCATCTCCTGTCACCAGGTAGCCAAACAAGAGCCACAGGGTGTGGCTCAGTGACAGAGCTCTTACCTAGTACATGTGAGGCACCAGGTTTGATCCCCAGTGTCACAAAAGATAAAAAACTGTCAAACAACTTCTACTCAAAGACTTATGTGTAAAGCACCAGATCTGAAATTAGGCAGACTTATACGTTTGGTTCCTCCTGCAGATCACCATCAGACCTAAACTGAAGACCAGGTTCTTCCTGCCCTCCCAGGTCTGTAAGACAGTAAAACCACCTTAATTCCTGAAATCACCCCAGTCTTCCCAATTACCTCCCACCAGCAAGGCACGTACCTCCCTGCTTACTCTGAGACTTTCATCCCATGCTACAGAACATGACAAGAGTGGTTCCCTCGATCTACATGAAAATTGTTGTAATGAAAACATGAGCTCAGCAGCCGAGCAAATACCCAGAGCCAACAGAGGCTATGTAAGACCAGAAGTGCTTGGTATGGGGGTTTGGAACTGAGACCTGGTCAGAAAAAGTGGGCTCTACCTAAGGGCACAGTGACGATGACATGATGGGCTGGGAGGCGGGACCCATCCTCACACTCCACCAACACAGGGAAGGTCTCCCCAGGAAACGCTGCCTCATGGAAGGACCCGTTCCAGTGGATGGTCTTCACAGGCTTCTTAAAAACCATCACATCCTTGGGCAAGGAGGCCATTATTTGGTCGGTGAGTCCTTGGTAGCCCCTAGGAGAGACAGAAGTTGATGCTGCTTAGAGAACCAGGCCCCAGAAGAGTAAGATTGGCAGAAATTAGCCCTCCAAGCTCCTATCAACATAAAATGGGTGAACACTCAAGGCCAGAGAGCAAAGCAGGTATAGTGTGCCTAGAAGGGGAGCAACCCCTGTAGTTTTCCCCCTTAATCCGCAGGAATGTTAATACCCACTTCCATCCAAGCTAATGGGAGGATTAAGTAATCTAACACAAAGCTGTCAAGGTAATCCTGGGAGAACCAGGACTCCCTCCCTATCCACACCAGGGTCTGGGTTCTGCACACTTCTGAGTTACCAATATCCATTCCCTGGGAAGAAGCCTCAGGGCTGACATCCAGGCATCTAAGGACAACCCTGCAGAAGGTCTCGCTGTGCCTGGCAAGAGGCAGCAGCCCTGCCACAGGGGAGGGGCCTCTCTGGCCCCCTGTAGTTGGAGCCCCTCTGGTACGCTTGGCACATGAAGCCTTGGGAAACATAAGAGAGGCATTCCAAGACATCTTTCCTTCTCTCAATCGCTATCTTAAAAGTAACTCTTTTTTGTTTAAATGAGCAAAACTAGGGAAAAGAGCAACCGATTTCTCTGATGGGGAGGGCAGAGCCTTTGTCCCCATGCCTCAGCTTTTTCCCAAAGCCTGAGGGCAGAGCCCAGCCCCTCAGCCCTAGGGTGCATGGAGGGCTCTGCAGGCAGGTGGGGCTGCATCCTGTACCCAGAGAAGGTGCAGTCCAGCCCTGGCAGCACGGTGTACTCCCCAAAGGGTGCAAGGGCCACCAGGTCCATGCTGTGGGTGCCGCTCACACAGCACTCCACATTGAAGAAGGCATTCAGGACAGCCAACTTGAGCTTCTTGGTCTCCTCGTCCTCTGTCCAGCTGGCCACCTGCTGGCTGATCTCTTTCTTGAGGTACTCCCCAACGCTGGGCACCGGAGTCTCAGTCGCATGCAGGAACTCTCGGGTCTGGTCTATCAGCCCATAGAACAGACTGCCCATCTCTGCCACCAGTTCCAGGCTCACACTTCTCCCAGAGCTGGTGCAGGACGAGGAGGGCAGGCCCACATGCCCCCCTGTCTCCACCAGCTGGTTCTCCTCAGACAACTCCTTCTCCCCCAGGAGCCCAAACTCAGCAGCCAGTTGGAAGACAGGGTTGCCCTGGGAGGGCCCATGGATCCAGTGTGCGCCCATCTCCACCACGCCACCTGAGAGGGCACAGGAGATGTCACCTGAAAGACCTCTCACTGGAAAGGTCAGGCCAGCCCTTTTCCTGGACCACACCAGCCAGCCCGGCCCTTTCCAAGTATGCTCAAAAGACCAGCTTGAGGGCCACCTGGTCCCTGAAAGGTCAAGTGGTTCCCCAAAGCACAGCCCTTTCAGAGCTACTTTAAAGGGAAGAGAGATGCTGGCCTGCACCTCTCTTGGGAGGGCGCTTGAAGAACTGGCCTGGAGGGCTCACGAGGCTGAGGGGGACAACTTTGCAGGGCCCCAGGTTGCCCTTCCTGGTGACTTTGGGCAGCTGAGCTTTGGAACCCAGTGAATTACGTGGGGGTGGCCTTCACCTGGGCAGCTGGCTAAGTTTTCCGCGCCTGGGCGGAGCCAGGGGGTTCCGGGACCAGGGATCGGGAAGAGGTTCCGCGATGGGGTTCACGGGCGGTTACCGAAGCTGCGCTCCGAGCGGATGCGGCCCCCGGCGCGGGCCGTGGCCTCCAGGATCCGTAGATACCGGGCGGCCGGATGGCGGCAGAGCCTCTGCGCCGCGCCCAGCCCCGCGATGCCACCGCCCACCACCAGCACCCGCGGGCCGCCAGGGATCTCCATGCGGCCGCCTCCTGACGCCATGGCGCGCTGCGCTGCGTCTGGCACTGCGAGCCCCGAACCGGCAGCAGAGGCAGAGGCGCAGGCGGGAGGGGGCGGGGCCGGGGAAGAGGCGGGGCCGGAGGTGATTGGGCGGGGAGAGAGGCGGGGTCGGATGGATGGGGAGGTGGGGGCGGGGCCTGGGGACTGGGGAGTTGGACGGTAGACGAGGGGCGGGGCTTCGTGGGCGGGGCGTGCTCGTGACGGACAGGCGAGACTGGGGAGTTGGAGGCGGGGCGAGAAGCGGGGCCGGGCGGACCTAGGCGGACCTAGCCGAACCCGCAGGGCAGATTGCGGGCGGAAGGCAAAGAGCACCCAGGACTGATACAGGTTGTCATGGCGGGACAGGAGTGCAGTGTACCCGCGGGCACCATGAAGGTCGAGGGCAGGCGGCCAGAGATGGGGTGTGGCCCCGCTCGCGGGTCCCACCGAGGCAGAACCATCCGGGGAGATGCAGATACGTGGCGAGCGCCTGCACCTGGGTGCCCTCGCCCGGGGTGACAAGTGCTGGAATTTCAGGTGCTCAGGATTCTTGAGCCCCCTCTGAGAATGAAAGCACAGGCGGACTCCAGCAGCACAGGTCGCAAAGATTTTATTTGTAGAGAAGAGAAAGATTGCACGGAGGGAAATGGTGATCCCAGTGGGTTGGGTTGGGGATTGGGTTTTATGGCCTTTTTGAGTATTGCCTGAGGGCAGAGATGTCTCTCAGGTGCAGAGAGAAGTTTCCTGGGAAGGAGAGGTGTCTCCTTGACCACTTAACACCTTTTGGGACCTCCTGTAGTCCGTCCTTCGTGATGGGTGCCGCGCGTTGGGGTGGGGCCTGTCGGAAGAGGGCTGTGAGGGAGCATCTGGGCAAGCTCGCTGTCCCGCTCTGTGTGTGCGTGCACACACGCGTGCACTTACATGCATGTGTGTATGGTGACCTCCTGATAATCTCATCGTGAATTGAAAATATCGTCAACAGAAAATGCACTTAATACTCTAACCTAGGAACAAAATAACGCTGTATGTGCAAAACATGAGTTGTTTACCCTCCTGATCGCGGCTAACCGGGAGCTGCAGCTTACTAAGGTAACAGATCCCTACATATCCTCTGCCCTGGAAAAGAACAAAATTCAAAGTATGGTTTCTACCCAATGCGTGTTGCTTATGCACCACTGTAAAGTCGAAAAATGGCAAGCTGAATCATGGTAAATTGGGGACCCCTGTAAGTCACATGTCTACATATTCACAGCTTGAAAGTTCAAGAAAAACTGGCACCTTTCCCCTCCTTCCAGGATTCTCCCTGGGGAAACAATACAGAGTTCAATTTGGGATTATCAAAAGTTATAGTAAGCAGAGGTGGTGGCACCTGTAAACCCAGCATCAGGAGGCAGAGGCAGGAGGATCACAAATTCCAGGCAACCTGGGCTACATATGGAGATCCTGTAAAATAACAAAAAAGTTACATGTGGATTTTTTACTGAACCTCTACAACTCTGCACCCCAGTTTCTCACAGGTCAACTGTTTTCCACATTATCTAAGCTTGTTCCTAACCTCCGTGCTGTGATCTTGCAGTCTGTAGGGAACCCCAGTGGACTGAAGGGTTTATGTTATGTCCCTGTCATTCTTGGGGTCGGTGGAAGGTACCAAATCTAGCACTGAAACCAGACCTCCTGATTTATGACTGCTTGCCCAACTCCCCTGTTTGTTTCCCTGCTTGAAAAACACCTTAGGAACTTCCAGTTACTCAACTAGCCAGGCATGTCAACCTGTTCCATCTGATGATCACAGATAATCAGAGGCCAGAAATTCTCTCCCGTCTCCCATGGCTTGGACCCTCCTGTAAAGCCCACTACCCAATTCAGCCAAGCCGCTGGGGGAGGGGGGAGGCCAGCCCTGCAGTCTGGTTCCTAATAAATCTTTCCTTTCCACACATGGTATGGTCTTATTCAGCAGTACCTTACAGTTTAGACATAGGGAGAGAAGAGGAAAAGAGTCAGGGTGGGTGTGGGGCAGATTCTGGGGCCTTGGTAGCCTGCAGTGCACACAGTTGGAGCTATCTGCCAGGTGCAGCCAGTGCCTGGAAGCACCTGCTCAGTGCAGCAACTATCTCAAAATTAGCCTTGGATTCCTCAGGCAATCCAGGGTGCCTCAACCCAGACCACACATCTCCCTCCTGCAAACAAGCATGCCCCTTTGAAGGTACAACCCTTGCTAAGCCTGGGGCCAGCTCTCCATAAAACTAGCCCCTGATCCCTGGGCCTTGCTACTCAACCTGACATCTCAGATTAAAAAGGAAAGGACCAGCCAACCTTGAGACGCAAAAGGCACCACACTTGGGGTACAGCCACACTGGTCCTAGCTTCACCTGCTTCACATAGACAGTCACTCTGTCTTTGGGAGAATCCCCCACAATACTGTCTGAAGCAAAATGCTGTTCCTAGGCTACCTATGCAGAAGCTCCCTGCAGGTCTGAGTTGGGTGCCAAAGGTCTGGCTGAGCTGAAATCCAGTGAGCTAATGGACTGCTGTGGCCTGGCATGCCCAGTGCCCATCCTCTGTCCTCAGTTTATATACTTTTTTGTGATCCAGACACTACAAATTGTGGCATTGGTCTCTGGGTCTCCCACATTTAGGCCAAAGGCCAGCTCCCTAACACAACATAATGAAATTGTACTGGTTTTCAGGCTGCACAGTCCAGCTCACTGCCCTTGACATGGTGGGACATGGCCCATACATTGACACCATCCATGCCACATGGGACTCCAGCAGGTCCTGCAGTGGTGTTGGCTTCACTGCTCCAAGCAGATGGGCCAGATCAGACCTTTGTTCCCACAGGGACTGCAATGTGGTGCCTCACAGCCACCACATGGTTTTCAGGTTGAAGTGTTCTATCCTAACTAGCCCAGCAGCTCCACTGCCTTTGAAACTATCTTGAGTCTTTTTGATTTCCCAGGCTCTGTCCAATCTGCCACTGCTCAGCCAGTGACCCTTTGACCAGCAAAGGGTCAAGATGTTGCAGGAAAGTTTGAAGGACAGACCGCGGGAGGTCAAGGAGACACTTCTCCCTAGGAAACACCCGTTTGCATCTGAAAGGCATCTCTGCCATCAGGCAATGCAAAAAGGCTATAAAACCCACTCCCCACCCTGACCCACAGGATCACTGGTTTCTGGGTCCCCCAGCATTCCCCGATATGCAGTCTTTATCTACTCTTCTCTACAAATAAATTCTCTACAAATAAAATCTTTCCCACCTCTGTTGTTAGAGTCTATCTGTGCTTTCATTCTCAGAGCAGGCTCAAGAACCCTGAGCATCTGAAATTCCTGTGTGTGTCATCCGTGCATCATATTTGGGGACGCACAAAGGGAACAGCCATCACCTGAGATCGGTATGGTTTGTGCCAAACTGGGAAAGACTGCCTAGGAATGTGACTGTGAGCGTCCAGCACTCCGGTGGAGACTATTTTCCAGGACAGACCCCCCCACACACACCACAGCCTAGCTACAGTGGAACTCTCAGGTTGACCTTTTCTCTCTCTCTCTCTCTCTCTCTCTCTCTCTCTCTCTCTCTCTGTCTTGTTAAGGAGGGTTTCTCCTTTTGGGAAACTGAGGAAAAGCTCTGACCCTACTAGAGCTGTATGGCAGGCAATCTGAGGAAACTCGGACACCAGACGGGGGATTATACCATACTGCCAATGCTATGTGGGCGAAAGCTGACTTCAATGCACCGAGGTCTTTTTCTTTTTTCCTCTCCTTAAATGCTAACACTCTCTTTCAAGATCTGACCCACTTAAGAGGAGATCTGAAACAGCCAGTGGGAAGGAAAGTTTATCTTCAAGCCAAAAAAGGTGTTCTGGCCAGGGCACTCCCCAGTGTCACCCAAAGGCTGGAGATGAAACTTCCTGGACCGCCCTGAGGCTCCAAAGGTGGCTAAGTCTCAGACCCCTCCAGCTATGTCCACAGCAAACAATCAGATCTCTTACACGTCCTTCGTGGTTTCTGTGTCCTGAGAGTGGAGGTCACCTCTTGCTTCCAGTGCTCCAGTACTGCCTTTGGGCAGGATCGACCTGGACAACAGTGATGACCAATAATCCCTCATGCATTGAGCCTGGAAACTCTCATTTTCCCAACCCTCAGCCTCTTCTCCTTTCCCAGACAGTTCAGGATGAGTGCCCCCCACCCCCCTTTGCTCTAAATAGCAGTGAGTTTCTTTCTTCAGGGAGTTTGGGGAAAACCCTTACAGGCATGAGAAAGTGCTAGTCTCCAATTTAGGCTTAACTGTCTTTGTCAAACATAAGGTTAACTGGTTAAACAGGTTCCACAGCCTGCTCTCAGGGAAAGAAAAAAAAAACGGTTAAAAGGGAAAAACCTTAGGTCTCCATTTTTGCCCCTTACCAGAGCAAAAGCCTTCAGATGCTCTCTCTCTCTCTCTCTCTCTCTCTCTCTCTCTCTCTCTCTTCTCTCTCTCTCTCTCTCTCTTCATAGAAAGCATATATGCCTCACAAAATATATAGGGGGACAAAAGTCTACTTCATCAGGAGTCCCCATCCATGCTTCTGCAGGGGTCCTCCTTCTGGCCATGCAAGCCCTCTTGGTTACTTTGATAGAGTTATTTTTAAATTATAAACCTTCAGCTGGTAGAGGAAACTAGGCCTACCTGGGTCACAGGGCAAACACACAAGTTGAAATAGATGAGAATTGGTCAAAGATCATCTCATGGGGGTGGGTACAACTGAGATATCTGTAAATCCTCCACAATTCTACCCACAAGTGGCAGTGAAAGGAGCAAGAGAGAGAAAGAGAGATGCCCTCTCCCACTAGAGTATCTCCTCATCTGGGGACACCTAGATAAAAGGAGAAAACTCTGTTAAGGTGACCAATTTTCCCTTGTTTCCCTTTTTTAGATGGGGAATCAAGCCTTAAGGATCCAGGAAGGATCCCCCCTTGCCTGCTTATTAAAACATCAGAAAGATCTTGATCCAGAAAGTCTTCAGCAAAAGCAACTCAAGTTTTACTGCACCCAGGCTTGG